GGTAAACCGATCACTACAGACCCTAATCTACCCTAAACCAGTCCACTATGCCCTAAACCAGACACCATCAGACCTATATGGACCAACCTAACCCTAAACCAGTTAGTTCTAGTCCTAATTACACACTCCAGACCTAAACCGCCTAATCTAGTCCTAAAGAACCACCAACTCAGGCTCTAACACGACCAATACCAGCCCTAACTAGATAAATCAGATCCTAAACAGACCTCTATTAGCCTAGAACCAATCTGATCTTACCTAATACCGGACCCAATTGACCTATATGGTCTAATTCTAGCCTAATTGGACGGACATACCCTAACCTTAGACTTAAACCAGTCTAAACCGGCCTTAATTCACCTCCAATCAGACCCTATTGGTCTGAACCGAACAATTCTAGCCCTTCCCAGACAAATCAGACCTTAACCAAGACCTAAACCAGCCTAAACAAGTCTGAATTGCTCTAAACCGGACTCAATTGACCTAAACCGGACCTGAATTGACCTAAACCGGACTCAATTGTCCTAAACCGGACCTGAATTGACCTAAACCGGACTCAATTTATCCTAAACCGGACCTAGATTGACCTGAACCGATCTAAACCGGTCCAATTGACCCCAAACCGGACCTGAACCGGTCCGATTTGACCTAAACCGGTCAACTGTTGACCAAATTGGTCAACGAATTGACCGAACCGGAGTGAACCGGTCTGAACCGGCCGGAACCGGGTCTGAGCCGGACTGAACCGGTCGGAATCCGGTCTGAACCGACGGAACCGGGTCAAACCCGATCTGACCGCCGATAACCGGACTTGGATCGAATCGAACCAGGTTCGCTTGACCCAAACCGGGTTTAACCGAAATTGGATCGATTAAACCGGTGTAAACCGGGTTTAATCCAAAACCCTAATTTTCGGAAACCCTAGCCGCCGAGTCACCCGAGTTGACTCGGTTGTTGACTCACCCGATTCCTCCACTCAAACCCTAACTCGGACGAGTCGGACCCGAGTTAACTCGGTCGTTGACTCACCCGATCCCTCCACTCAGCCCTAACTCGGACGAGTTCGGACCGAGTTTCGCCGGAATCGAGCATTTCTCCGCCGAGTTCACCGAGTTTCCTTTGAAACTCGGACTCAAATCGGAGAAATCGCGGAAAAATAATAAAACCGAGTCAGAAAACCTTACCTGACTCACCGGGTTCGAATCTGGTTCACCGAGTCTCGATCTCAGACGCTCCACCTCGATGGATCTGGCCGCCGGCGACTCCGAGACTTTCAGATATACTCCCACCGTCGCCGATCCGCCTTCGTCTTTCACTGAAACACTTAACGAAACATCAAATCGTTCACACAGTCGAGATTCGAACCAAGAACCCTAACTTACCTCGCCTTTGCCGGCGATTCTCCCTGGATCGGAACCGGAGCTCTGATACCACTTTGTGAAGTCGGTATCGAGTTCTCACGGCCACTCCGACGCTTGTTCGTGCAAGAAGAAGAAACGACACCGGAGTTTTAACGAGTTCGGTTACCGAGTTTCCTCGGGCCTACATCTCGGCCGGACGGTGCCGGCGAATCCACTAGAATAGAACGGAAACAACAGAGAAGGGATAACACGCGGTGGCTCTCCACACAAGGTCGGAGGCTCACCGAGAAACACCAAGAGACAGGATACGAGACACTTACCGACCTACTCCGCGACTCACCTTTGGTGACCGCCCCCGGTCAGAAGCTTCTCCATCGTCGGGAAACTCCTCCTCCGTCGCGATCTTCCTCTCCTTCCCACGATCGCCTCTGCGATCGCCTTTCTTCTCTCCACCTCGAGCACCGCGCCTCTCTCCGTGTCAAAGTCCCGAAACCCATTAGGGTTTCATTAACCCCCAGGATGAAACGCTGCGTTTCGGGTTAAAACCCGAAACCTCTTTTCCAAAGGGAAGGTTCACTTTCTTCCGCCAACGGGCCTTAAGGCCCAACAATCACCATGCAAACATCTGGCTCTGCTCAACACCTCTGGCGAGACTGAGCGTAGTGAAACCTTCTGAAATCAGCTCGCTCCTCGATTTAGGTATCTTCTTCAGCTTAGAACGCTTCCACTTGAAGAAAAATATCACTAAGTAAATGACGATATAAGTTATCAGCGAAATCCCGACAGAGATGAGATACCATGTAGAGTCTGGTGAGATTGCAGCCATCGAAACCGCGTAAGAAATGTACAGAGGCATTGATATCAACAAGAAGAACCAAAGATGTTCTCCTCCGACAGGTAAAAGAAGAAACGTCATAAGAATAGCTGACCAGATTGCCATTCCATTCGAGTTCCGAAGGACTTGGAAGTACCCATTTGTCATAACTACTTTACCGGTATCTTGATGAACTCCTCCTGGAGGCTGGAGAGCTGTCTGATAAGTGGTAGAGATTATCAGAGAGGCTATCACCAGAAGCGCGCTTCGTGTCCCGTCCGAGATGTGGTTTCTGTAACGAGCCATGGTTGTGGACCAGTACTCGAAGAAAGTGACCGGAGATCCCAAGAACTCGGATGTTTTCTTGGTTCTGGACAGAGAAGCTGAGTTCTTGGCCCCGGATCTTCGTACCATCTTCTCCATGTCTCTGTCTATGTCTTGTCTCCGGGTTTGTAAGATATCGAGAGCTGTTAGACCATTCCTGTTCTCGATGTTTCGGTTAACCCCTGGACTTCCGAGCAACAGTTTTACAGCCTGCGTAAGAAAAGTGTTAAGTTTTGATCCGTGCCCGAGATGAGAATTAGCGAGAAGGATAAGAAAGAAACGTGCCTCGTGCTTATTCTCGTATGCAGCGACGTGCAAAGCTGTGTTTCCGTCTTGATCTCGTCTATTCAGAACTTGAATCTCGAGGAAAGAAGCGTCTTTTTGGCGCATTCTTTGGACCCAACCCGTAATAACTCGAAGTTCTTCATATCTATCGTTAATCACCGCAATGTGTAGAGCAGTCTCGCCGTTCACGTTAACGTCTCTGATGCATTCAGGGCAGGCCAGAATGAACTCTGTAACAAGTTCTGTAGAAAAATAAAATGCGGAAATAAAATAAGACAAATAGAAAAGAACGGAATTACTTTTATTGCTAAGTTTCTTCTTCTTCTTCTTTTATAATGAAAATAACTCACATATTTATAGGAAAATTAACAACTGAAATAAAAGGAAATATAGATATAACGGAAATAAATATGATTCACAATATTTAACATAATATTGTGTTCCTCCAAAATCTAGATTTTCCTCCAATCACATATTCATTTTCCTACTTTAACATTCCCCCTCAAGATTGATTTTGAAAGAATGCAAAAATCAATCTTGAAAAGATAATGCGATAAAAATCCATAGACATTTTCATTGTCTTTTGAAAAATCCATAAACACCAAATTTAGTTCTTTTAGAGAATATTACCCATGTTCAAATCACTTCGCTTGACTTTGAAGTTCTACATTTAACTGTTTTTGTCATAACACCTCGCTTGATCTTAGAGTTTTTAGGTTTGACTTCTTTTTGTCACAACACCTCGTTTGATTTTGGGATTTTTACTCCTATTTGAACGATTTGAATCGCTCTGATACCATGTAGAAAAATAAAATGCGGAAATAAAATAAGACAAATAGAAAAGAACAGAATTACTTTTATTGCTACATCTCTTCTTCTTCTTCTTTTACAATGAAAATAACTCACATATTTATAGGAAAATTAACAACTGAAATAAAAGGAAATATAGATATAACGGAAATAAATATGATTCACAATATTTAACATAATATTGTGTTCCTCCAAAATCTAGATTTTCCTCCGATCACATATTCATTTTCCTACTTTAACAAGTTCTACATCCCCCTTCCTCACCACAAGATGTAACGGCATCATACCTGTAGTTCATATAAACCGAGACGAAAGAAAAGAATCGAAATATTGAATTATTGGGGGTATTTTGAACAACTGACCTTGTCTGCCTCGGACACGGACAAGGCTGGGATCGAACTTGAGAAGCTCGAGAGCTAACCGGGTTTGGTCCTTGTCCAAGGCAACATGAAGTGGACTGAACCCATTTGGGTTAAGTTTTTTGGCAAAGGATGGCTTCAGATTCATCATCTCCATGGCGAAAGCGGTCCTCCCGTTAGCTGCGGCGGCATGGAGAGGAGTGTTGATGAATGGAACGGACTCGATTTTGTCGAGAACGTACGGATCATCGTCGATTAGATCGTACAATTCATGGACGCTTCCCGATTGAGCAGCCTGTGTCAGCCTTTGATCCATATGGATGAAAAACAAGAAACCCGAAATGGCAAAAGCAAAGACTTCAGACGGATCTTATGGAGAAGAAGAAGGACGACACAAAGAAACCCCTGTCAGGAACATTTGGATCGTTGAACACATATGGATTGATCCATTAATCTAATGGAGTTTTGGGAGATATAACTCCTCTGGCGTTGATTTTCTTGGATAAGCCAATAAGAGGCAAACTTTACACCTCTGGAGTCTATTCGCTGGTGATAAAAACAAGCTGATACACATCGTTCCTTGTGTTCATGGATTGGTCCATGATCCGTTACGAAACCATGCTTTTTGGGCTTGGGCCGTTATTTGGTTTAATGGGCTTAGGGTTTGCCATGGTTACCTTGTGCCACACGTTACACCTCTGGAGGGAGATAAAGTTGTTCGGTTTTCCATGCCTAACCAGTTTCCTTTTTTTTCCGGTAAAAGATAAAGTTGTTCAGTTTTCCATGCGTAACTAGGATATGTTCGTCTCAGTGTTCACATAGGATTTGAATTATTCATTGCTGAGATTCAATTTTATCTTTTAAAAAAAAAATTCTATATAAGAAGTGCCTCACCCCTGACTTCGACTGAGATTTTCAAATCGGAGGTTTCACCACATTACTCTGCACTCAACATGGGCCTGACTTCTCGATTCGTCGGCTTCTTCAAAGATGTCTTGTCTCTAGGCAAAGCTTTCAGCAACGACAAAGATCCTTCTGACATCATCAAAGTTCCCGTCATTCGGGCCACTAGCTATTACCGGAGCCGGATGGATGGCGCATCCATGGAACGTTTACTCATCCATGTCTGTCTGCATCCAGAATCGATCCCTTCTCTCGTGGATTGTATTTCTCGACGTCTGGAGAAGACGAAGGACCGGCGAGTGGCCCTGAAATCCCTTTTGCTCGTTCACAGAATCCTTCGCTTTGACAAAGATACGTATGGCTCGTGCTTTGGATAATCTCCAACTGGGTCGCTTCTGGTTCATGAAGAACACGGATCCGTTCTCTGTTTTTCTACAGAGCTATGCCGGCTTTCTCAAGGAAAGATCTGGGTGGGTCTTGAACCAATCGGATCACATGTTTGAACCTGTCGTGGACCGATCAGAACCTGATCTTGAACCGGCGGTGCTCCACACCCTAACAAAGTGCCAAGGGTTCATGGAAAAGGTCTTGGCTTGCGCTCCGGTTAACGTCAAGCCTATAGATAATCTCGTCCTAGCAGCTCTCCGAACTGTCTTGGAAGAAAGTTTCAAGATTTACGAGACGTATACCAACGGCTTGAAGAATCTGTTTGTCACGTTCTTTGATCTACCGATGCCCGAAAAAGCCCGAGCTTGCAGAATTCTGAGAGTAACTTCTCAACAGTGTCAAGATCTCCGTGGGTTTTACGAGAAGTGCAGGGAAAGTGCTGTGGACGAGAGCTTAGATTATCCATCTGTCGAAGTCCTCGACTTGGAATGCGTAACCTCACTGGAGGAATTCACAACTGCCAGTTTGGTTTCGACAAGCAACGGTTTCCATCGTAAATTTTCGAGTAGATTATTTCGTTAGAGCTTAGATTTTACTTTTGCATTTGGATTATGTAACAAAAGAGCTTCTGAATTGTCTGAGCTTTACTCTGCATTGGTTTTCTTAATCTTTCTTCCGATGAATGTTACATACTTGAATTTTTAAAGCGAGGACGAAACCATAACCCAGCAATTTCTTGATTCGGAAATCACTTATATGGTTCATGTGAAAATGTTACCTATAGCACTAAACATACCAACTTGTTCTGAATCATTCAACAGCATTGCTCAATGACCCGACATTCGCTAATCGTCCTAATAGCTAGGAGCACCCGGTATCGATCATTCTTATGACCCGACATTCGTCCTGTAGTCCCTTATCAAACTTTGAGAAATCATCACACCAAACGAAATTCAAGAACCGAGAATTACTTGAACCAAGATCCAAGAATTCCGACATCTTTTGCAACTCATCTGAATTCAGACAACCTCTGTGATTGATATAACAGACCCGCTTCACAAAAATCGGATCTTGAGGAGCCTCTTCTCGTGAAACAGTGTGAGAGTATATGCATAGAAGTAACTTATTACATTGAATTCTTGCCATGAAACATCAAACCTAACCTTCCTCCATTCCTCGGGCTAGACTTATTGTCGTCAAGCCTTCCAAGACCAGTTCGCTCCTCGATTCAGGTGTCTTCTTCACTTTGGACTGCTTCCAGGCAACGAAGAGCACAATGTAATAACTAAGAATATACACGAGAAGGGTTAGGGTTGCGAAGATATACGATAGCGAGCCAGGAGAGATTACACACCACGATACAGCGTAAGAGAAGTACAAAGGGACCAATATCGAAAGAAACCACAAAACGTATTCCCTTCCGACAGGCAAGACAAGAAATGTGGTGAACATGGCTGTCCAAAACGCCATTCCGTTACAGACCCAGAGCGCTCGGAAATAGTTTACGTCCATAACCGCTGCTCCAGCCTTTGTATCGGTATTGCTGCCACCGTTGTTTTCTGGGTGTACACCTCTTGGCGGTTGAAGGGCTGTCTGATAGCCGATGAACATCCTATAGAAACTCAAGTTCCAGCGAAGTGTAGAACTTGGATGTCGGCTAGGTTAGGAGAAGAAGACCAATGAACAAAATTGTTTTATTTTCTTGTTTTTTTTATATGTATTGTACAGATTATATAGACTATAATATCTACACAACGGCTATACAAATCTTCTAATTTGGCAATATAATATTTGAACGTGATGAAGGGGAAATTTAGCAAATCATGTTCCCTCTTTCCTGTTAAAATGGAAAAACGAATATGTGATTGGAATAAACTAATATTTGAGATATGATGGAGAATAATAATGGATACAATATCATTATGCCAAATATTATGTATCTGATTTATTTCCATTGTATCTATATTTCCTTTTTATTCCGTTTCTTAATTTTCCTATAAATATGTATTTCATTTTCTTTGTAATGTAACCAGAAGAAGAAGAGATGTAGTAATAAAAGTAATTTCGTTCCTTTCTATTTGTCTTATTTTATTTCCGCATTTTATTTTTCTACATGGTATCAGAGCCTGGTTGCGATCTGGACTATATGTTTCTTTTTTTTTTATTTTCTAATCTCTTCTTTCTTTTGCGTTTTGGATGTTCATATATCCAAATCGTTCAAAGGAGAGTAAAAATCCAAATTCAAACGATGTGCTATGACAAACAAAAGTCAAAGCTAAAAACTCTAAGATCAAGCAAGATGCTATGACAAAAAGAGTTAAAGCTAGAACTTCAAAGTCAAGCGAAGTGATTTGAAAATGGTTAATGCTCTCTAAAAGAACAAAATTTGGTGTTTATGAATTTTTCCAGAGACAATGAAAATGTCTAGACGGTTTATAGCATTATCAATTCAAGATTGACTTTTTCATTCTTTCAAAGTCAATCTTGAGGGGGAATGTTAAAATGGAAAAACGAATATGTGATTGGAATAAACTAATATTTGAGATATGATGGAGAATAATAATGGATACAATATCATTATGCCAAATATTATGTATCTGATTTATTTCCATTGTATCTATATTTCCTTTTTATTCCGTTTCTTAATTTTCCTATAAATATGTATTTCATTTTCTTTGTAATGTAATCAGAAGAAGAAGAGATGTAGTAATAAAAGTAATTTCGTTCCTTTCTATTTGTCTTATTTTATTTCCGCATTTTATTTTTCTACATTTCCTTTTCTTGAGTTGCCATTATCTCCGTTGAATATGTTCTGCATGTGCATGTGTTCTGCCGACGTTCGAGTCCATGTCTTCGTTTGTTTCTTGTCCGTCGAAGTGTTCTTCTCCGCTAACATTCCCCCTCAAGATTGGCCGTCCAAATTCAACGAGGCCAATCTTGGAGAGACATTTGTTTAGAACAAATGAGCTTGTCGCCTTCGTTAAAATATCCGCTAGTTGATCGTGGCTCCGAGTGTACGTCGGGGCAATGAAACCTTGCGTGATTTTTTCCCGAATGAAGTGACAGTCCACCTCGATGTGTTTCGTGCGCTTGTGAAAGACAGAGTTGGCGGCGATATGTAAGGCCGCTTGATTATCGCAGTGTAATGTCGTGGGTGTTCGTGTCTCCAAACCGAGGTCATGCAAAAGGTGGCGGAGCCATAACACTTCGCTTGTGGTGTTTGCCATGGCTCTGTATTCGGCCTCTGCGCTCGACCGTGCAACCACCGTTTGTTTCTTGCTCCTCCAAGTAACGAGGTTGCCTCCGACGAACGTGCAATAGCCCGTGGTTGATTTGCGATCCATCTTATCTCCGGCCCAATCCGCATCACAGTAGGCAACAATCTCTGTATGATGATTCCGATCCATGCAAATTCCTTTGTTTGGCGTGCCTTTGAGGTATTTGAGAATGCGGTCCACCATTTGCCAGTGATTTGTCCTTGGAATATGCATCCATTGACTGACCTGATGCACAGCATAACTAATATCAGGTCGGGTTATAGTTAAATAAATTAACTTACCTATGACACGACGGTATTGCTCCGGATCATGAAATGGTTCCCCCTCGTTGTGATCTTTGAAGTGCTCCTCAATTGGTGTGCGAACTGGTTTTGCTCCTATCTTTCCTGTTTCTTTTAACATATCCAAGATATATTTGCGCTGCGAGAGAAATAAACTATTAGAAGTACGAGTAATTTCAATGCCCAAAAAATATTTAAGGAAGCCAAGATCTTTAATATCGAAAACTTCTTTTAAATATGTCTTTGTGTCTTGTATACCACCTAAGTCATTTCCGGAAACAATTATGTCATCAACGTATACTAAAAGAACAACAATACTCGTTTCTCGTGTGAACGTGAATAAAGAGTGATCGGCATCACTTCGGGAAAAACCTTTGTCCATGAGCGCTTGATATAGCTTATGATACCAAGCCCGCGGAGATTGCTTGAGTCCATAGATGGCTTTGCGTAGCCGACATACTTGGCCGGTGCGAAGAGATCCGGCATATCCCGGTGGAGTTTTCATGAATATTTCTTCATGGAGATCTCCTTGGAGGAAGGCATTTTTGACATCCATTTGCCACAGCTGCCAATCAAGATTTACGGCTAACGATAGAAGAACACGTACCGTGGGAAGTTTTGCGACCGGTGCAAATGTTTCATTATAATCCTCACCGTAAGTTTGTGTGTAACCTTTGGCGACTAGGCGGGCTTTGTGACGTTCAATGGAACCGTCACTGCGATACTTAATCTTGAATACCCATTTGCACCCAACCGCTTGCTTTCCCGGTGGTAAATCAGTAATCTCCCATGTCCCATTTTTTTCGAGAGCAGCAAGCTCTTCGGCCATAGCTTCACGCCACACAATCATGTCTTTGGCCTTAGTGTAAGAAGTTGGTTCTTCTCCCTGTTCCACAATGCTTAAAAAACTTTGTTGATTAGTGGGAAAATATTCAAGAGAAGAGAACTTATCAATTGGATGAGCAACGACGGTGTGATGAGAAGAGTTTTGTTCCTTGATTTTCCATGTGGGTTTACGGTTTCTGGAGCTACGGCGAAGCAACGAGACATCACTAGAAGATTGTTGAGCTGAGCTAGGTGGGAGATGCGTGTCATGCACATCACTTGGAAAAGTCAACATGTCTGAGATACCTTCATGCAAGGATGGTTCAACGTGGTGATCCATGTCAGCTAGAGAAGACATATCATCATGCATATGATCATGTTCTAAACCACGTGGTTGTGGCACGGACGTATCAGCATGCATGTGATCAACAGGAACTTCCCCCTCAGACGAAGAACCGGGAAGATGAGTTGGATTTCGCGAATCTGCATGATTAGTGCTCGAGGAATTAATTAAAGAATGGTCAAGAGTATAAGGGATACCATCGGCATGAAGATCGTCAGAGGAAACGGTTGTGCGGAAAATAGAACTCTGAACGCCAAGGTGTTGAAAAGTATCGATGAGACGTTCGAGTGTGTCGGAGCCTTCGTTTCCTTGTGCCACAAGGTTCTCTATTTCTTGCCAATTGTAATCATCAAAGTAGCTTAAATCTTCGACAAAGATGACGTTTCGCGAAATGTAGACACGGTTTGTTGGAGGATGATAACATACATAGCCTTTTTGATTGGCCGGATAACCGAGAAAAACACAACGAATGCTTTTCGGATCTAGTTTTGTCCGGTGGCCTGCATCAATGTGAGCGAAAACAACACATCCAAATATACGCAAATGATCGAGAGAGTCACTACGATTATGTAATAGCTCAAAAGGTGATTTATCCTTTAACACTCGTGTCGGAAGTCTATTGATAAGGTAGCAGGCTACCTTAACCGCATCACACCAATACCTTTTCGGAACCTTACGATGAAAGAGTAACGTCCTTGCCACTTCCATTAAATGTCGGTTTTTTCGTTCGGCGACTCCGTTTTGTTGTGGCGTGTTAGGACAAGTTTTTTGATGGACAATGTCTCGTTGAAGAAGAAAGTCCCGAAATTGGATACTCGTGTATTATCCGCTAACACATCCTAGCAACAATCTTACTTCCTGCATAGAATCTTCAAGAAAACAACGATCAGAAACTCGGGGACTGAAGAATTGGTATTTGCTGCAAGATTTTGATGCTGGGGAAAGAAAGATCGAACGTGCCTGCTGCTTATCCTCATAAGCTGCGAGGTGCAAAGCAGTGTTACCGTCGATATCTCGTCTGTTCAGAACTTGAATCTCGAGCAAAGCAGAATCTTTTCGGTTCATTCTCTGGACCCATCCTATGAGAACTTTGAGCTCTTCGTATCGGTCGTTCATCACCGCAATGTGGAGAACAGTCTCACCCTTCACGGTCACGTCTCTGATGCTTTCGGGACATGCCAAGAGGAACTATGTCAAAAGTTCCACATCTCCTTTTCTCACAACAAGATGAAGTGGATGTTGAAGCAAACACATCTTCGCATGTTCACCTATGCATATGACGTCAAATATCTCCCCATACAACCCATGCATATGATTGACGTGCGTTAACATAAGCTTCCCATATATGGACTTGACACATGGCAACTTGGAATGCATCGTAAGGAAACGGTGCAATAAGAGACGTTGGAGAATATTCAGAGCGTATATTCAAGGATGTGATGGAGCAATCAAAGTCAAAACAGATTAGCAACTTACCTTATTCTACACCAAGACATTTCCAAATATTATATAGATATTATATCCGTTAGCGCTTACATTTATTTTATTCTTTTCACACTTCTATATTTTTAGTTATAAATATGTACATATACTTATGAATATAATAAGTAACGAACAAAGGGGTTTAGTCCCATTTTGCTTCACTTTCAAATGTCTTTTTATTCTTACGTTCAAACTTCTTTTTCTCTTGTTTTACAGCCATAATCTCTCGAATTCATATAGAAATCTTCATGGTATCAGAGCATAAGGTCTAGAGAACCTTGTGTTTTTTTTATTCTGCTGCGAATTCGAAGCATATTCCCTCTCGGTTGCGAGTATACCGAAGAGGAGCCTGCTCGTTTCAATTTTCAGAATTTTGTTTTTTCTTTTGGTCATTCATTCAAACCAAAAGGAGAGTTTTTTTTCTTTCAAGTGATTCCTTGGCCATTCATTCAAGCCACGGTTCACCATATTGTTTGTCTCCCTCGGCCTTTTCATTTCAAACCGAGAAGAAATATTTTTTTTCCTATCCTTTTCTCACTGCAATATGTGTGAGTATTGTGATAGTGATTGTGAGTATGAAGAGGTTTATGAAGAACCAAAATACAGAGAGTATTGGGATGTTGAAGACGTCTTAGCCAAAATACCAAAGTCTCTAAGAGAGATGTTGGTGCAAAACGTCAATGCACACAACATTGAGTTAAGTGTTTCTCTCCTTGAAGATTTATTTAGAACTAATGAATTTTTTGAAATGATGCAAAAAGCACAGGTTGAAAGTAACGAAAACTTGTCTCAAGATGTTGAAAAGCCTTGCTCACACGAAGAAGGCCTAGAAAACACTGAGCACATGGTTATTCCTATGGTTGAAGAGATTCCAACCGAGAATATAGACCCTGACAAAGAGAATGGATCGGATGGTGAACCCTCGGATGAAGAAAGGAGTCCAATGGATGTGATGATGAATGATCTCACAATGGAGGACAAGAACCCCGAAAAAGAGACATCACAAACATCCACAATTATCCATCATACGAGAATACAAAGGCATCCGAATATCCCTTTCAAATGGCAAAATCACCGAGTTTGTAATCTTTTCTTTTCCTCTATCTCTTTTGAATTTTCTGTTCCAAGTAATATGTTTGGTTTTCTTAGTTCGTTTGGACAGGAAAAACAAAAAATTATCTCGAAAATTTATGGCAACGAGAAGCTCACGAGTGAGGGGGAATGGCATGACACACTCGTATACTTCTCTACCAACAAAAATATACAAGAGTCCGAAGAACCGAAAGAGATGACATTATCTATGAGTTTCAATAACTTTAGATTTGGTAAAAACCCTCTCAATTCTTATATTTTTTATCCCGAAAAACATATTTATAAATTACAAAATGAAAAACGAGATATACTTGTTAGGAATATGCTTGACCATGAAAAAGACATAAACGACATGTTTTTAGTTTTCAATGCAAATTTGAATAAAATGCTTAGTCTAGAATATAAATCACACGTAAATCCTCTCTTACAAATAATGTGTCATGTGTTGAGGACTTTGAACTTAGAATTTATGCATGCTAAAATGTTATTTTTATTATTGTTCGATGAAAAACACATTGTTACATGTTTATTCTCGTTTTTAATTATTAAAGGGAGTGTCATGAGCTCTCTTGTGTTTGCTAATATTTTCTTTGAGATCTTACAGAAAATAAAAATGAAAGTAGCATATATTCGAAGCTTGAAACAGATATCGAAGGGAGTTGAATCCTTAGGATGCCTATCTCAATGTCTTATCTCAATCATGAAAACATTCGATCTTCAAGATTAGCTTTTCAATATTTCTCCAAGCTAATCTTGAGGGGGAATGTTGAAGCAAACACATCTTCGCATGTTCACCTATGCATATGACGTCAAATATCTCCCCATACAACCCATGCATATGATTGACGTGCGTTAACATAAGCTTCCCAAATATGGACTTGACACATGGCAACTTGGAATGCATCGTAAGGAAACGGTGCAATAAGAGACGTTGGAGAATATTCAGAGCGTATATTCAAGGATGTGATGGAGCAATCAAAGTCAAAACAGATTAGCAACTTACCTTATTCTACACCAAGACATTTCCAAATATTATATAGATATTATATCCGTTAGCGCTTACATTTATTTTATTCTTTTCACACTTCTATATTTTTAGTTATAAATATGTACATATACTTATGAATATAATAAGTAACGAACAAAGGGGTTTAGTCCCATTTTGCTTCACTTTCAAATGTCTTTTTATTCTTACGTTCAAACTTCTTTTTCTCTTGTTTTACAGCCATGATCTCTCGAATTCATATAGAAATCTTCAGTGGAGTCATACCTATTAACGATTTCAAAAAAACACAAATCTTGGCATCACGATTGTTTGGTTCGTAAACTAAGTCGATTTGGATTACACTCGTCAATTTTTGGGCTCGTAAAAAAACGGACCGAACTAAGGTAGACAAAAAAAATTTCAGATCGGAATGAGTCGGCCTGAACCGAGTCCGCACGTTTTACAGCCCTGATTTTAGTTGAAATCAAGGAAAACAAAGGTAGCAACTTTTGTTTTTGTCTCACTCTTCACGTTCACGTCTCTGATGCTTTGGGGACATGCCGGAACGAACTCGGTTAAAAGTTCGGCATCTCCTTTTCTCACCGTCATACCTGTTGTTGATATAAACCGAAACGAAAGAAAAGAACTGAAATCTTGAATTCTTGGGTGTCAGAACAGAGAAAAAAAACTCGGAATTCGAACAAGGAAGTAACCTTGTCTGCCTCGGACACAGACAAGGCTGGGATCGAACTTGACCAGCTCGAGAGCGTATAATGCATCCTCATCGTTCAGATTGTATAATGCATCGATGCTTCCAGATTGAGCAGCTTGTTTCAGTCTTTGATGCATGCTGTCATGAAAAGAAAACACAGGACTTCCAACGAAGGAGAGTCGTGTCTAAATAACTTCCGACTCATCTTTGACTGAGTCAACTTACTATTGCAGATAATCAACAAAGGCTGCTCATCGCTTTTGTTGTGAGAACTTAAGCATCCTCACATAATTATACAGCATACAAGCCATCGAGACTTTCACATTGTGCAGATAAACAGCTTACGCATTGTTTAAATTTACCAGAAACAAACAGGACTTTTCTCCACTCCCCGAGCTAGACCGAGCGTAGTCAGGCCTTCCAAGATCAGCTCGCTCCTCGGGCCGGACACCTTCTTCAGTTTAGACCGCTTCCAGCTCAAGAAATACACCATGTAATGACCCAGAACCAAGTTTACAAATGTCAGCGTCGAGCCGTAGAGATAGGCTGGCGGGAAGGGAGAGATGACCGACATCGAGATAGCGTAAGAGAAATACAGCGGCAACGATATGAACAGAAACCAACGGACGTATTCTCCTCCCACTGGTAAGACGATATACACCGTGAAAACGGATGACCAGAAGGCCACGACATTTAATCCCCAGATGAATGTGAAATACTGTCCCTCCATTACAATCGTTCCCGGACCATATCTAGATCCTGTGTCTGAACCCGTGTTTGTACCGACGCTGTCTCGGTGGACGCCCCCTGGAGGCTGAAGGGCCGTCTGGTAAGTGACCAAGATTATGAGTAAGGATACTGCTAGAAGAGTGTTGCGAGTTCCATCTGGGATTTGATTCCTGTAACGGGCCGTGTGTGTGGACCAGTACTCCGAGAACGTGACCCGTGACCTCAAGAACTCGGATGTTGTCTTGACTCGGGGTAAAGAAACAGAATTCACAGCCCCGGATTTGCGCATCATCTTTTCTACCTCTCTGTTCATGCCTCGTCCATCAGTTTGCAGTATATCGAGAGCTGTCAAGCCATTCCCGTTCTGGATATTGCGGTTAACGGATGAACAGTCTAGCAACAGTTTCAATGCCTGTCAGAATTCGGCATAAACTATATAAGATATGATTTGTTCGGGGAATGTTGACAGGGAAA